CTGAGTGGGTTTTTTTGTTTGTGTGTTTTTTAAACAGCTAAAGTGGATAGAGAGAAATACTGTTAACTGATGGTACATGGAGGGGATTATAATCAATGTAATGAAACAAGGTATATGAATTGTTGAATGTAAAACTGATGATCTGCCCTGTAAACTGTCACTCAATCCACAATAAAAACCTTAAAAACAACAACAACAAATACACCAATGGCTTTCAATTATGGCTCTACCAGAAATTTTCTTTTCATCTAACAAAGAGTTAGTCAGGGACGTCTTTCCATGCCCCCTCACCCTTTAATCCTGCCCAGCATGTCACAGTAGAGATTATGTATCTAAGGAGTCCTAGAGGCACAGTGGGTTAAGCATGGGGCTGCTAGCTGCAAGGTCAGCAGTTCAAACCCACCAGCTGTTGCGTGGGAGAAACTTGAAGCTATCTGCTCCCATAAAGACGTACTGTCTTTACTGGGTAGATTTGCTCTGTCTTACAGTGTTGCTGAGTCATGATCGACTTGACTAGGTGGACGCTTTGGTTTGATGTGGTGACTGTTGCCAGGCGTCCCCCGGCCTCCCTGGAGCACCTCCCTCTCCCTGAGTTGGTCCCTCACCTCCATACAGTCGCCCAGGACGAACTCGTAGATGATGAAAGAGATGAGGCTGCCGCTGGTCATTTGCCCTGAGATGACGAGATGACCCCCGTAATAGAGAATGCTGACCTGGACCACCAGCAGCGTCAGCTGAGGACAGAGGGAAAGGGCAGTGGGTTCACCGGCTTAGGCTCCGATTCCCTGCCAGGCCCATATCCCACAGGATGGCAGGGAGAGAGGTAAGTGGCCAGGGACCACAACCCCACTCACTCATAGATAGATAGATACCCTCCTACACATTTTCCTCCAGGGCCCTCAGGTGGAACAGGTTGTGGGCCTGGCTAGAGACCAAGGCTTTCTTTGTTGGGCTCACACAAACCACCCCCAGCTCCTGCATCAGGCTGGGCAGGAACTAGGAGTCCTCTCTCTGAGCTGGGAAGAGGAGTCCTGGTAGCACTGCTAACTATAAAGTTGGTGGTTCAAACCCACCAGGCACGCCACAGGAGAAAAATTATGCTCTCTGCTCCTTTAAACATTGACAATCCTACTCTGTCTACAGAGTCATTATAAGTGGGAAATGATTCAGTGGCAGTGGTTTGGTTTGGGACAGAAAAAGTAAGGCTCAGAGAGGTTGAGGGCACCGCCTAAGGTCACACAGCAAAACAGGAGGCTGAGGGTCCATGAGGGAGGGATTTTCTTGGGTATCCTGTCTTCCTCACCCTCTGGCATGAGGTGGAACACCTAGTTAAGGTGTCAAGTTCCAGGACCCACGGTGACTTGTTAGGGTCCTTGGACCCCTGCACCCCCAATGCTGAATCAGATCCAGATCTCACTGCACACTAGGAGAAGAAGCCCCTCCCAGGGGCAAACTGTCAATGGCCTAGCTATTGGGTCAGGTTTCCTCCCCTTCTCGATGGCTGGACACTTTTTGGGATGGTCATGTTATCCCCATGCAGACCACCAACAACTTCCTCCCATAACCCTCCCCATGCCCACCAGCACCTCATGTGCCCCCACCTCCCAGGTGAGGACAACAGGACAGAGATAGCTCAGGCCCTTTGTTCTCCAAGGAGGGGTGGAGACTCATTCCAGGGAGCAAGCCCAATGCAGGACGGGGGTCCGTGATGTGGAACCTCCCCACCCTTGACTGGGAGATTCTCCCAGCTGGGAAAGAAGCTCCCACCCTACAGCCCACCCTGAGCAGGGAACAGAAGGCTGCTCGACAAAGGAAAGCTGGGGCCAGGGTGGTACAGAACTACCTGCCAGATAAAACACACAGGGCCCCGACCTATGTCCCAGTCAACGTCTCCCTGTCAATGCATGCCCCACGCAGGGACCCGGGCCCGTATCCCCAGTCAATGCACCACCCCCCTACACAGAGACCCAGGCCTATATCCCCAGTCAGTGCACCCCCCATGCAGGGATCCGGGCCCATGTTCTGAATCCAGGGACCCCCAATGTGGTGTTCAGCCCCAGGCCAGGGCACGTACCCCACTGCCCCAGACATAGTAGGTGTAGGCGGCTGCCTCCTTCTTGTTCAGTTTGTAGACCTGCTGCAGCTTCTGCGAGTACACCTTGGCCTCCTCCTCCTCGTTGGCAAAGCTCCGGACAGTCTTGATGGCACTGATAGTCTCCTCAGCCGTGCTGCTGGCCTGGGCCAGGGCACTCTGGACTTCCTTAGACAGCCTCTATGGGGGTGGGAGACCCCAGAATAGACAGTCTCATGATCTGCCTGGGATTTCCCACCCTTGATCAGTGTGGGCTGTATACAGAGTTCCAGGGATTAAAGGATGAGATTTGGCCTGTCTCTAGCTGCACTTCACAGACCCAGAGCTTGGCCCTGGGGGCAGTGGTGGTGATAGCTCCGGCTCCCCAGAGAAAGGGTCTGACACTAAGCCATGGCTGGTATTCAGGACAATCCTCTCCAAAGAGGAACCTCAACATCTGAGTCTGTGCTTAGAGGAGGGATGTCCTGTACGGGTGTTCAGGTTGTACACTATACAAGGAACATCAAATTCTAAGGGGGCACCATATCTATTGTCATTGTACCCTAAGTTCCATGAGAGCCTGAGGATTGGTATGGAGATTCCAGAACTCTCTGCCTACTTCTGGATGGCACCAGAAGCCATGGGTGTGAAATTGGCTACACAGAGTGTGTAGAACTGGGTACTGGGCTGAGAAGTGGACACAGGTATGCACCCTCCCCCGCCTCCTATCCCCGACTGCTGCCCACTGTGGTTCTGGATGATAACCACACCTAGTGTCTGCAAGGATGGCTACCCTTGGCCGCATGCACAGACATGTCCCATGACCCACATGTTAGGCCCGGGCTATCGGAAGCTTGCACTGTGTCAGCAGGGACCAGACAGTGCCTGAATCACATCTGATGTGGGCGACATGTGCGGCTTGTGGTCATGACTCAATTCCCCCAGGTAAGGGTGGAAAAACATAAACAGACTAAATCCACCTTCCCAGACTCTGCCCGCCTGAGGCTGAAAACAGAGCTTGAGGTATGCAAGACATGGGGGAGACAAGTCCCCCAGGCTTCCTGCCCCCAGCCCAGTGGCTGGCAGGAAAGCAGGCAGGAAGGGTGGGGTGCCTCAGAGGACAGGAAACAGGATTCACACTCCAAGGAATCTATTGACTTTTCTGTCTCAGGGAGGAGAAGCCCCAGCCACAGAGTTGGGGAGAGGCCACACCATGGAGCATGGGCTAATCCTGGGACTGGGTGGGAGTCTGTCCCTCCTGCCTTGGGTCTCAAGAGATCTGGTGGAGTTGGGAGCCCCAATCTACTGTACACTGCTCCGCCAAAGCCTCCTCCTCACAAGTCTCCCCCGACACACACCTGGGTGGGCCTGGAAGAAGTTGCTGTCTCCCCTGTCACAGGACCACAGACCTGCCCATGTGGACCTGGCCTAGCTAGGAGACAAAAGGTTGAGGAGGGGTCTAGCTTTCAGGTGCCCAGGGGAAGGGGAGCACCCAACAACAATGCCTTATAGGTGGAGCTCAGGCACAGTGGCCCAAGCCACCCCAACACAAACACAGTTTCTATAGGACAGGAGGATACATGTGTACGTAGAATAAAAAGCAAAATCCTAAAGGCCTTGCAAAGGCCACCAGGGCATGGCCCCTGGCCTCCCCGCTGCTCCAGCTGTTCACCAGTCACACCAGCTGCCTGCTCGCACCCAAAGGCCCTTGCATGGCTGTTCCCTCTGCCTGGATGTGCTACTAGCCCCCTCTCCGAGCACCCCACCCTCAATCTCTGTTCCTCACTCTATCGCTCTCCTGAGCTCTTAACATCTCTCGCCGCATCACATATAGGGGCTGTACTCATTCAACAAGAAGTGTATTAAACACTGGTCTGCTAACCACAAGGTCGGTCAGGCGCTCCACAGGAGAAAGATGAGGCTGTCAGCTCCCATGAAGATGGAGTCTCAGAAACCCTAAAGGACAGTTCTACTCGGTACGACAGAGTCACCGAATCTCAGACTCCGTGGTAGTGGGTTCTCCTCATTAAACCAGCTCTGGGGGTGCCACGGATAAGTACTCAGCTTCTAACCAAAGTTCAGTGGTTTGAACCCACCAGCTGCTCTGCAGCAGAAAAGACCTGGCGAGCTGCTTCTGTAAAATTTCAGCCTAAGGAAGCCTGGACAGTTCTGCTCTGTCACATGGGTCACTGTGAGTTGGATTCAATTTGATGGCACAGGACATACTCATGGTTAGAGGATTTCACACTCACGAGCTTGTCTGTTAGCTTAAAACACTTCTGTAGCCTGCTGCACACATGTGCGCCCACAGAGCAGCAAAGAGTGGCAAAAACTTCCCAGCCAAGGTTGGGGAGGAGGGGGAATTTGCAGATTGAACGACAAGACTCGGCTATCATTTCGTGCTTTTGTGATCACTCCTGTTGTCACTTTCTCCACTGGGGGGGTGGGGGGAATGGCAGCAGTGCACAGGTGACATGTTAGGCCGCTGACTGAAATGTCGGCAGTTCAAACCCACCAGTCACTCCTCTAGAGAAAGATGAGGGAGTTCCACTTACATCCAGTTTGACAGCCTCAGAAACTTGTGGGGCAGTTCTACTGTCCCGTGGGGTGGCTATGAGCCGCAGCTGACTCAATGGCAATGGGGTCTGTGAGGACAGGGGCTTCGCTTGTCTCACTGAGAGACCCCAGTGTCTGAGACGCAGCTGCTGCTCCAGGAGGAATGATGACATGCAGCTAAGACAGCCCAAGTCACGTCCTCCACTAGCCCCTGGGAGCCCCCAATCCCTTCCCAGGGTGCCCTAGGTGCACCTACCTTGTAGTACTTGCCGTACACGTTAGACACCATCATGATGATGGGGAAGCCCATGAAGGTGACCAGGGAAAGTTGCCACGAGAGACTGAACATGAAGACCACCACGCCAGTAACCTTGACCGTGTTACGCAGGAAGATGTTGATATTCTGAGAGACCAGATCGCTGACCATGGTGGTGTCCGAGGTGAGGCGGGAGATGAGGTCCCCTGGAACACAGACACCTGGGGGCTCAGATCTCCCCCACCTTCGGGGCCAGGCAGAGGGAGGAGAAAAGAACAGATACCCATCAAGGGCTACTCGGAGCCCAGGCAGCATCCTGTTTAAGCTCTGTCATTTGCCCCATTTTACAGAGGACGAGGCTGAATGAGCATGTTAGCCCAGACCTGGCCCCTGGGACTCTCCTCATTCCTCAGGGAGAGACAGGCTTACAGCTACTATGGATCACCAAGTGCTGGCACTAAGCTAAAACATCCCAGCCAGCCCAGGAGGAGGGCTTCAAGTGCTGTTCCCAGTTTACAGGTAAGAAAAGAGAGGCACACCCAGAGGTGATGTCAGTGAGTGGTGGAACAGAGGCTGTCCCATGGCAGAGCCTGAGATCTTGGTCAGACTCACCATCTGCCTGGCACCCCACCCTCGTCCTGGGGGAGTTGGACCTCTGAGGCCATGGCTGGAAGTCCAGGCTCTTGTGGTTCTCAGAGTAACTAGGGGTGGGGTCTTGGCACCTGCAGGGACCTCAGGCAGCCTGGCGGGGGTCCTGTATTGGCCACAGCTCAACCTGAACCTCAGCCAGCAGGCTGGTACCCAGGGCAGACTTGCTCCCCATCCCTGAGTCACCCTGAACCCCTAGGGGAGCCCACCTGTGCGGTTCTCATCAAAGAAGCTCGTCTCCTGGGACACAAGCGAGCTGAAGAGGCAGTTGCGAAGGCGTATGTTCAGTCTGGCAAATATGAGGCTAAAAATGCCACCCCGGATACCTGCAGCAAACGAGCTAATTGCAGATAAGAGATGTTATAGCAAGACATCCTTCCGACAACCAGCCACCACAACCTGGTGACCCTCCCCTCCAGGGTGGGCATCTCTGAGAAGTGACCATCCATCCCCAGTGGGAGCCCCCTCAGGGAGCATGAAAGGGCAGCCAGATCCCTCTCCCTTCCAGAGAAAGTTCTGTCCTATGCGAGGGGGAGGGAGCCTTGGAGACAGGCCATTTGTAGAGACTCACTAAATGGGTTGGGGAGCTCTGCTGGGCTGTTAACCACAAGCCTGGGGATTCAAACCTACCTACCAGCTGCTCCATGAAAGATGAGGCTATCTGCTCCCTAAAACCTTAAGGAGAAGTTCTACTGAGTCCTGTGGGTCACTATAAGTTGGGCTAGGCAACATGACAGTGTGTTTGGTTTTGACCAAATGGTCTGGATCAGAGTTAGCTTGGGAGCTGGTGGGCACAGCGACAGGCTGAGGGTCAGGCCCACCTGGGGTATTACTCAGGTCCCATGGCTCTGTTTACCTTAGGAGCTGGCCCCATCCACCTCCCCACCTCCCCCCTTGGGGGCGCTGAGCAGCGTGGGGCTGGGTGGACGGGGAGCCTGGCGCTACTACCTGCCGACGACCAGCACACACATGACAATGACAATGGTGCTGAACTGGCCCATGCTCTTCTGGATGACGATGCCATCGATGGCCCGGCCAGTGTAGTATGGGAGGAAGGTCTCACCTACAAAGAGATGGTGGCGTTAAGGGGTGTCTGCAGCCAGGGAGCCTGGCCCCCGCCTCCTGGGGCTCAGGGAGCCTACTCTACTGCGGAGCCTTCCGCCCTCCACCCCCAAGATGTGTTCACCTGACCGGTTTCCTGCTACTCACAATTCTTTTCATATTTTTAGTGGTGATTCTGAGGGAAGGGCATTCTTCTGGAATTTTTCTCCTGGAGGCTGGCAGATAACAGTGGAGTAGCCAATACACAAGACCTCTGTGTGTACATGGTTGGAAACCAGGGGGGTTTATAGCACCCTGGGCATTTCATACCCATCTAGTGGCATAGCGGTTAAACACTTGGCTGCTAACGGGAAGATTAGCAGTTCAAACTCCACCAGCCACTCTCTGAGGAAAGGTAAAGCTGTCTGCTTATGTAAAGATGCCATTGAAAGCTTGGTTCTGCTCTGTCTGACTGGATCACTGTGACTCAGAACTGACTTGAAGGCAGTGGTTTCATTTTCTGGTTTTAAAGTGAGCATTATTAAGGAATCCTGGTGGCCCTGTGGTTAAGCACTTGGCTTCTAAACCAAAAGGTCAGCAGTTTCATGCCCACCAGACTGCTCCGAGTGAAAAGATTCCGCAGTCTGTTTCCATAGAGATGACAGCCATGGACATCCTATGAGGCACTTCTACTCTGTCCTAATGGGTCACTGAGATGAAATCGACTTCATGGGAAAAGCTTTTGTTTTAGATTTGATGCCTCCTGTGTTTCAGCTCCAGGTGTTGAGGGATGCAAAGGTGCTCTGCGGGAAGCACATCTGCGTGGGGAGGTCAGCGTCTCCAGAGAGAGACTGATGGGCCTTTTTCTCTTGGCCAACATCCTGCTTCCTTCCCACCATGGTAGAGGGGCCCTACTACTTCACAGCCCCCCTTCTTCCTTCACTATTTCTGATGCCCCCTTTTCAGAGAATAGGAGATCTGGCAACAGTGGGGCGGGGGGCGGGCACACTGAGCTAAGGTGGACTCCCTGAAGCACAGCACATAGACTCGGCACCCACACTGGGGACAGTGAGGCTGGGAGCGAGAGCGACAGGCAGTTTACACAGAGATGACTTCATTCTTCTTGTTGGCAGAGGGTTCAGAGTCCAAACTCCAGAACTTCAGAATGGTGGCCCTTTGCAGTCTCCTATGTGGCCTCTTACTCAGCTGGTGAGTAGAGACTATCCCCCAGCATTTGCAGGGGTGGAATGGGAGATCAGAGAGGCTAAGCAATTTGCCCAAGGCCACACAGGGTCAGCAACTGAACCGTATCTCCCAAACATGTGTCAACCTGATTCTCATTGGTTTGGTAGTTACGTAATGATGTAATCACCCCCACGATGTGATCTCATCTGATCAGCCATTAGCTGTTATGGGATTAGGGTGGGCCACAACAAACAACCTTGCTCAGGTCACAGCCTTGATGTGACATAAGGGGAGCTTCCCTGCAGTGTGGCTTTCATCACCTTGTATCTTATATGAGATCAAAGGACAGGGACCAGGCTGCCACTGAGAAAGAAGAACTGGGAGAATACATCCTATGGACCTGGGGTCCCTGAGCTGAGAAGCTCCTAGATCCAAAGGAGGACTGATGCCAAGACACATGGAGATCCTCAAGGAACGCCAGGTCCACAGGTGTTAAAAGGAGGCACGGACCTTCCCTCAGAGCAGACACAGAGAGAAAGCATGACTTCCCCTAGAGCCAGGGTCCTGAATTCGAACATCAAGTCTCTAAAATGTGAGAAAGAAAAACACTCCTGTTTTCTGTTAAAACAACACTAGACAACTAAGATGCACAGCAAGCAAGGGGCAGCGCTAGGACTCAAACCCACACCAGCTTCCAATGTATGGGGGCTCTTTCCTTGTCCTTTCCTTCCCCCAAATCCGGAAATGGTGGGTATACAGTTTGGACCGTGGTCACGTTGGACCATGTCTCCTGTTTGCTGTAGGATCTGTCTTCATAGCAGCTCCTCCCACAAAATTGCACAGCTTATAGACTGTGTAAGCATGGGGAAAGGGTTCAGCCCCAACGCCCTGATTTTAGATCAAACAGTAAACCTTTATTCTGCTGGAAAGATGGCCTCTTGTTTATATACAGGTTCCACAGCACAATGAGTCCCGTTCTTTATAACAACATCCATAGTTTGTTACTGTGCTGTAGTGAATTACTTATGTCTCTTTCACCATAGTCTTTATAAACTCCCACCAAACGAGTTTTTCATGGTGGGATTCATGGTGTGGTGCTGTGGGTTAATGTACTGGATTGCAGGGTCAGTTTGAACTGCAAGGTTGGCGGTTCAAGCTCGCCAACTGCTCCTCAGAAACCCTTAACTGGGTTGCTATGGTGGCAACCAACTCGACAGAAATTAACAACATAGATGCTGGTGGATTATATGATTCAGTTGTAATGAACAGGGCTGATTGTGATTGGTCAATTTTGTCAGCCTGCTGGGTATAACTTCCATCAAAGAAAAATGAACCACGTCGTTTGGACTCCAGGATCCCTGCACACTGAACCTCCTTGATCCGGGGACAGAGACCCAGAGACAGAAATGGCAGAGGAGCCGAAACAGCAGAATGAAGAACCAAAGCACACCCAGCCAGCCGAGCAGATCACGTTGAGAGATTTGGGGCAGAAGGCACACATGCAGCGTGTGGTGCCTGCAGGCACTTAACTAGGAGAGCTAGGTTTGCTGACCCACAGAGTTCGGCTGAGTTCCTTTGGCCTAAGGCTGATTTAGAGCAGAGGGGAGTGCCCTTTGCATACTTGTAATACACAGCCATAGAAGAGCTTTGTAACACCTCCAGAGCAGGGCAAAGGTAAGGCCAAGGGTCTAGGGACCAGAGAGGCCTTTGAGTACAGGTGAGAAGAGGTTGTCCTGACCGGAAGAACAGTGTCCTGAACATTTCTGACCCTGAATTGGAACTGTTAACTTTCCGAATCAATCCCATAACTGTGAGTGTGGTGTCTGAGTTCTGTGAGGCCGTTGCCATGGAGTCTCAAGCCCAGATGAGAGAGAGTGCTGTTGGGCTGGATGGTTGGTACCAATTCTTCCAGTTCTGAACCACACAATCCTAGGCCTTTGCATAAAGTCAGGAAGCGTAAACATCAAGCGTGTGTCCTTTCATAATACTTATTCAATCTGTACGTTGAGCAAATAATCCAAGAAATTGGATTCTACGATGAGGAAGGCAGCATCAAGATTAGAAGAAGACTCATTAACAGTCTGTGATATGCAGATGAACTCATTAACAACCTGCCATATGCAGATGATACAACCTTGCTTGCTGAAGATCAAAGACTACAGCCTTCAGTACTATTACAACTCAAAGTAAAGAAAACAAAATCCTTCTAACTGGACTAATATTAGCAAGAACATGATTTATGGTGAAAAGATTAACATTATCAAGGATTTGATTTTACTTGGATCCATAACTAATGTCCATGGAAGCAACAGTCAGGAAATCAAATGATGCACTTCAAGAGGCTCATGTGCAAGGAGTCCTGGTGTGGCACAGTAGGATCAGCACTGGACTGCTCACCAAAAGGTTGGTGGTTCAAAACCACCAATCGCTCCTCAGAAACCTTCTACAGGGTCCTTACGAATTAGTACTGACTTGATGTCACTTAACAACAATTTTCTGAAAAAGATGTCTTAAAGTGTTAAAGTTCAAAGATGTCACTCTGAAGACCATGCACCCAACTCAAGCTGGTTGGTACTTCCAAATGTCTTATGTGCATGCAAAAATTGGACAATAACAAAGCAAGATGGAGGAATTGATGACTCTGAATTATGGTGTAGGCAAAGAATATACCATGGACTACCAGAATTGTGTTGCTAACCTCAAGGTAGGCAGTTCGAAACTACCAGCCGTTCCGCGGGAGAAAGATGAGCCTTTCTCCTCCCGTAAAGATTTACAGCCTGGAAAACCCTATGAAGGGTCACTATGAGTCGGAATCAACTCAGTAGAAGAAGGTGTGAACTAGAAAAATGAACACATCTGTCTTGGAAGAAGTTCGGCCAGAATGCTCCTTACAAATGAGCATGGCAAACTCACCTGGCATACTTCGGCCATGTTACCAGGAGGGACCAATCCCTGCAGAAGGACATCATGCTTGGCACAGGAGAGGGTCAGTGAAAAGGAAGAGTCCCAATGAGATGGCCTGACTCAGCGGATGCAGGAATGCTCAAACACAGCAACAATCTGAGGACGACGCAGGACTGGGCAGTGTTTGCTTCTATTGTACAAAAGGTCGCTATGAGGGAGAACAAACAACATGGCGGATCGGGTGGACGTGTAGTACAGAGCTCCGCCAACAACAACACAGAATACCCAACCAAGCAGGCTCAGGGGATGGTCCCA